TGTACTCAGTCATTTTGACATGATAGTATTCTTAGCTGATATTTAAAGTTAATTTTTTTCTAGCCTTATTGTCCTAGGTAACACATTCATTTCTGGTATTATAGATGTGGTATATTGATTCTTATCTTGATCCCAATCTCACTAGGAAATTATAAAATTTCAGTATTTCACCAATAAGCATATTTTTACTGTATATTTTAGAGCTCTTAAGACAGTACTAAGGAAAAATTTTTTTGTTCCATTGTGCTGAGTTTTCTTCTTTATAAAATTATAGATGAATTTTGACTATTGTGAAAAAATGCATCTTCCCCATTTGTTAAGGCGATGTTACAGATATTTTTTTTGTTTCCTATAATGAGGCAAATTTCATTGATTGACTATTTAAATGCTAAATCAATACTGTATTCTTGAAATAAAAATATCTTGTAAATATTAACCTTTTAAGTATATCATTGTGTTTGTACTTGTATACAATGATAAGTATAACGTTATATTTATGGTGTGTGTGGGGGGGATGTTAAATCTATAATCATGATAAGGTTTAAATTTTACTTTCCCAAAATGTACTTATTATATTTTACTATTTATGTTTTTCTGGCTTTATAACACAATCAGATTAAAATACTATGAGTTATTCAACAAATGTTTAGAAAAATTTGGTAGTAAGACCACCTGATTTTTCTGTGTAAAGCTCAAATTCAATTTTATTATTTTAAGAAATAGGTAACAATCAAATAGAAGAGGAAAACATGTTTTAAAAGCTATCCTGACACTTTCTAATATTTACACGTATGAGCCACGAGATGTCTCGAGGCCAGAGCTTGCTATCCTACGTCCCTCTATGTCTGTCCACCTTACGATTTAGGGCATGGTGTCTCACTGAGTCTACGGCTTGGCTTGGCGTTCCGACTTGACTGGCAGCAGCAAGCCTCAGGAATTCTTGTCTTCACCTTCCCAGTGCAGGAGTTCCAGACACATGGTGCTGTGGCCAGCTTTTCTGTGGGTGCTGCTGCTCCAGACTCACAGCCGCTTTCTGTGTCTCTTTGTGAAATGCGTACGGTCTGTATTGTTACATCTTTCCGCATTCTTATGGTTACTGATGTGTTTTTTCTCTCCCCGTTTTCTTGATTAGTCTTCTTAGAGATCTATTAATTTTTTTTTATTTTATATATTCTATTTTTATTTTCTGTTTTAAAGATTGATTCTTTTATTTATATTTAGACTTTTTCGTACATGCAAACAAGTATCTTGATCATACCCATCTCCCAACTTCTCTCTTCAGCTTTCCTCAGGTGCCCCACAGCAGGGCAGTGCCCTCTCCCCACTTTTGGTAACCCACTGTACCCAATTAGTTTTGCATGTTGGAATGCTGACTGGTCTTATCGCCATGATCTTGTGGCGGTAACCATAGCCTTGGTGAATTTGTGTGGGCAATGGCTATGTCATGTCCAGAACATAGCATTTCACAGCACTCCTCCCCATCCCCCAGCTCCTGTGATGCTCCCTGAGCCTTGGTAGGCAGTTGACACAGATATCCCATTCAGGGCTGAATGCTTAATAGTTGCTTGTTCTGGGCACTTTGGCCAGTTATGAGCCTCTGCTTAATTGCTGTCCACTGTTGAGAGAAGCTTCTCTAGCCGAGCCTGAGGGCAGCATTAGTTTACGTGTATAGATGTAAGTGCTCACAAGACAGTCTCACAGCAGGCAGTGGTGGCCTTTAACCCCAGCACTTGTCTGTTTAGCACATAAATGTCTTTTTTCTGGATGTTAAAAACATTTCTTTAAACTTCCTTCATGTGACTTTCTTTTCTTTCTCTGTGTTTTGCGTAGAAAGCATTAAGTTTCATTATGACATATTCAGAGAAACTTTGCTTTATTGATTCTGTTTCCTGCTTCTTCAGCCCTACCACTCTGCCTCATATTGGTACATCTTTAAAAAAAAATTATGATTTGACTTAGGTCACAGATTTAGCTTTTATTTCTTTATGTATCTGATACTTTTGATTCTGTTACAGTTTCATTCAATAGGCTTTCCTGTCTAAGGACTTTTTAGATGTCTATTTCTTAGTTCTTAAGTAATTGGAGGTTTCTTACCCCCTTCTCCTATCCTTCTTTTTCTTTGTTTTAATGTTTATCTTACTTGCTCCATAGCCAGAGAGCATATTCTTGAACCCACTGACCCTTTCTGGGACCCTGTATATGATCAGTTTAGAGAAATGGTTCACGAGTTCTTGAAAATAATATGAATTTTGTCATTATTGGGTGCATTAATGGCAACTGTCAATTTGGATAATTGTGTTGTCTTTATTTTCCCCATCTTTATTGATTTTGATGTTTGGGTGTTCTGTTAGCTCTTGTGATGATTATGAACCACATGATAAAACATTTATTTTTCCATTTAATTCTGATCTCTTACACACACACACACACACACACACACACACACACACACACACACTTTAAAGTTATTATATGGTCCTGACCTGATAGCTTTATTTCTTTATTAATACAGCGCCTGGAACTTAGCAGTGATTCGTACCTCAAAGCCTGTTTTATCTATTCAAGTGTACCTACACTAGCAACATTTTGGCAGTGTTTGCATGATGTATCTTTGTCTTTTGAGGGTTTTTTTTAATTTGTGGATGTCATGATGGGCATGTGGAGGTCAGAGAGCAACCTTCAGGAGCTGGGTTTTTTCCCATGGTCACTACAGCTGGGTTCCTGTCATCAGGCTTGGCAGCAAGCACCTTCACCTGCCAAGTATCTCACTGCCTCTGCATGCTGTAACTCTACCAACTTCCTCACGTTCAGATACTCAACGTTATTTGAGAGCAGTGTGTGTGTGTGTGTTTTTTTTTAATCCAGTCTGATAAGCCTTTTTAAGTTGAACAATATTACCATTACATCCAGTGTAGCTGTGTCTGTATTTTATCTTATTTTTATGCTCCTATGTCCCATTTGTTTTGTTTTCATTTTCATCTCTTCTCTTTTAGTTTAAAATTTTGTAGTTGATTATTCTTTCCCCTACTTGATTTACTTCTGTGTTACTTTATCCTTCAATGATAATTCTAGAAAATACAACATGCATTCTTATTACTGTCTAGGAAAATATCATTAGGACTTGTTTTTCACAAGGAACTGAAAACACTTTAAGTCTCTGGTTCTCTTTTGTCTTTTGTGTTATTCTTCACATAAATTTTACTGCGCACAATGTTTAGACTCAAAAAGACATTATCAATATTGTTGTGTAGCATTCATGTCCATTTATACATATTCACAGGATACTTCTATTACTGCTGTCTGTTAGTTCTAGCATTGCGTGTTTCTGTTTGGAATAATTTTTCTTTATTAGAAGAACTTCCTTCTAGAACGTGTTTTGTGCTTTCCTGCGGGCAAGGAACACTTTACTTTTCTAAAATATCATTATTTCATATCTATTTGAAGACACATATCTTCCTAGATGCAAAAATATAAGTGTATTAAAATTCCTATATAAGATACCATTTGATAGTCTTACAGGTGAATACAAAATTTGAGCTCCAAGCACTTTTTTATTTGCAAAATTTTATTGATCTTGGGGCTCTCTTCAGTTCTATGTAATTGCTCCCAATTTTGTCTTTTTTTCTAATTGAAACAATAGAGGGTTTGGAAGAAAAATACTTTAATTTAAGAGTCAGTTTTACTACTTCCTACTGTGTGGCCTTGACCAAGTCTCTTAGCATGTTAGAGCCAATTTCCTTGTCTATGAGGTAAAATAAAGAAATCTGATATTGGTTCCATCTCAGTGGGGAGGTTTGAGCTCCTCTTGTGATATACATGAAAGTGCTTTGTAATTAGCCAAAAAGTTTTAGTGTTATTAATGCTCATTGGAACAGAAACATTTTCAGTGTGCATGTTCAGAATTCTCTTACATGTGTGTACTTCCATAAGAAAGCACAGAATAAATTCTATGTCCATGTGCTTATATATATGTGTGTATATATGTATATATATTTGTGTATATATAGATATATTACTCTGCCCTCACTAAACACTGTGCTAAAAGTGACATGACATATAGCTTATAAGCATCCTGTCACAAACTCAGTCTTCATCTTTTAAGCAACCACTATGAAAGGGGAAACCTGGATGGAACATAAATCACAATGCCTATAGATAAAAATAGCCTATTTGTTTGTTTGTTTGTTAATCCTGAGCTCAGGGAAGACTTTGCCTTTCTTTTTCTATATGATGTGGAGCATTAAGAACACGTTCCCACTGCTCGGAGGGTACAGTTGGCCTGGTTAGCGCACATCAGTGTAGGATTGTTCTCTGATTGGATCTCCTGTTTCATGATCCCCAAGGAGAACTATACAATTTAGTAGGAGCTGCAAGTAGTTTCTCTCCCCTGTCTCCTAGCAAATGGATTCTATTCAGAAAGCTAATAAATAAGGGTGGCTTCCCTTTCAGCATGCACACACACTACACAGCAGAGGGCAGGTCAGGCTGATACATTAAATTTTCATTCTGCACACATAACTTTTAAAAAACTACCTTAGGAAAGCAACATGGAACCTCATTTTGTTTTTCTTTCATAAGTGCTAATTTTAAAATGCATTAAAAATTTAAAATACTACATTAATCAGATATTAGACACTTTGCCCTGTACAGATATTTTGCTGTTAGATTGTTTGTTTTTTTACTTTGGAAAAAGTAGTATTCAGATTTCTTTCTGTGCCTTTGATAGGTCTTGGATTTGTATGATGCATGCCTTCATGTATGTGAGTGTGCATGCATGTGGGGTGTGTGTGTGTGTGTGTGTGTGTGTGTGTGTGTGTCTGTGTCTGTCTGTCTCTCTTTTGGGCTAAGATATTTCTTGGTAAATATGTAGTCTGTAAACAAACTCAAGCAGACGTTGGTAGATTGAAGCTAATGCTTCAATATCTCCGAGGTTTTCATGCTGGGCAAGTTTTAAATGGGACATTTATTCTGTGTTTAAATGTCTTCACTTTTGTCTGCAGGTCACTGGCATGCATTTTATATGAGATGTGTTGCATGGATCATGCCTTTGCTGGCTCCAGTTTTTTGTCTGTGGCTTTAAATATTGTCGAAGGCAACACACCTTCACTCCCTGAGAGATATCCACGAGAGCTAAACACCATCATGGAACGGTATGGCAGCAAGTCTGAGGCAGAGACCATCTGAAGTTTTGTTTGGAATGAGTTCATGTCTTTGTTCATTTGAAAAGTCGCTTTCTCTTTGAATGTTACAGCATGTTGAACAAGAGTCCTTTACTGAGACCGTCCGCTGCAGAAGTTTTAAAAGTTCCTTACATCGAAGAGCAGCTTCAGGTACTGGAAACAAGAGTGGTGTCAGGGCTGACAGACAGTCTGTGACCATGGGGCTGAGAGGCAGTGCAGTGAAGAGTCAGTCAGAAAGGAGGAAAGCAGGCTTAAGGAAGCCAGGAGAAATAGCAGGCGAACCTCTTTGCAAAGGAGGCTACACAAACTGGTACCTTCATGCCACCAGACATGGGAAGTGAGGGCTTTCATTTTCTCCCTAAAACCATTACTATCCACCCAATGGCTCAGAGGTTGACAGATCTTACCTGGACCCTTTGAAATCCATCCTCATTGGGCCAAGAATGTACTGCTAAATAGTATGGAAATCTGGGATTTTCGTTGAGCTATTATTATTTTCTCCTTTGTGACATGACCTAGCATCTTTAATTTGTTAGGTGATTCTTTTGTCTTCCTTCACATCTGAGAGCCTGATTAGACAGAGGACCTACCTGCCTCTAGTATAAGAAGAAACTATCCTCTCTAAGGCTTTTCTCTTTTGTGGGCCTCTCAGGCTTTTGCTATTCTAAGCCTCAGGCCCGGTCTCTGTCATGAATAACCCGAGCAGGAACCTCCAGGACACCTGCCTTGTCATGGGTGCCTGCTTTTCACCAGTGGGCCAAGATCTAAATGCAGAGGAAGCAAAGATAGTGGTGAGGGATGCTCAGCCATCAGGCGCAGTGCTGACTCTGGAGGAATCGAAAAGAAAGGGGCAGGCATGGCTTTCTCTTCTTCTGAGGTGAGAGTAAGAATTCGGTAGTCAAGGAATGGTAGGAAAACTGAAAATAATGACAAGAACAAAGAAGAAAGGAGACTGGGTGCTGGAAAAAAGAAGAAAAAGGAGGAGGAGGAGCAGTTGGAGGAGAAGGGAGAGAAATGGGCTTTATTAGTCAGAGGACTAGATGCCATCTTAATACTGGAAGGAGGTAGCCATGAAAACAGTTTCAGAAGGAAGCTTGAAGAGGGTGTCAGATACCCCACAACTGGAGTTGCAGACGTGTGTGTGCCACCATGTGGGTGCTGAGAATCAAACCAGGGTCCTCTGGAAAGTCAGCCAGTGCTCTGAACTGCTGTGCCCTCTCTCTAACCCTGCAATATTTCAAAGTTAGTATCAGTGAACCCTGACGGCAAACTACAGAGACTTAAACACAAGGTCCAACAAGGCCAAGATGAGTGAGAAGCAAGTGGCATGTAGTTACTTGGGTTCAGGGTTGGAGCCCGTCTACAAACGTTCAGAATTATATTGTCCACAGATTTGGGAACTGATTTTACAAATGATAGTGTGTATTAAGTAAGTACCTCTTCTGTTGGCTAAGGCCTATCTATCACACCCTTGAATCCTGTACCTTAGCTAAGAGCCTCATTTGCCTAATGGCCATCTTGTCAGGGGTAGGGTGGCATTGTTTATCAGATAAAGGGTGAGGGGTGGGTTTTCCTAGAGCTGAGGGAAGGTCTGTTGGTGGTGGGTAACAGGGAATGAACGAGGAGGGAGAAAACAGAGCAAGGTAACCTTAGAGAAGCAGGCCAGGCCGGAGCTGCCTCTGTGGGCTCTCCTCACACAACCTGCCACATAATCTTACTTAACCCTTTGAAGAGAGAAAGACAGCCACTGTGAGTTTCATCTTAACGAGCCTGGCCGTGGCAAATTAGAAAAGCTATGTGGTGTCTCTGTACCCTTCCACTGCTGAAAAAGGATCTTTAAGGCCAGGGTGCTTTCCCTTTATTTTAGCACCTGACGTGTAAATATTCAGAAATGACACCGGAAGCCAAGAACTCAGTTCTCCAGAAGGAGGCGGCTCACGTAATTAACGCTGTGTAAGTGATTGCTTTGTTCTTAAAAGCCCATCCTGTGTAAATGCTAAGTGAATCAGTCTTTAAAAGTCTATTAGTGCCGAGCTGACTGCGCAGAGTATCCTAGACTTCACTCGAGTCTCGCCAAGAAATTAAGACGCTCCAGCAAGGTGGCATGCCAAAGCCATTTGCTCCAGGTGGTCACAGGCTGAAGTGCTGAACTTCTAAACCCCTAGCAGCTCACAGATCTGCAGGGCGGCACCACAGTCGCCTTGTTAGTGTGTAGAGAAGTGAATAGCTCAGACACTTAGGAATGTTTATGCTAATAACCCTGCCCTCAGAAACCTAAATGGCTTCCTATGGTGCTTGTTTACTCGGAGAGTATGTCTACTTGGAGGAGTGTTGTTGTTTCCTGAGGCATCTGAAAAAAAAAAAAAAAAAAAAGGCGAATTTACTTTCTTTCCATATTATACATCTTCTCACAAAACGCAAGATAAAGTCTATTTCCCAAAGAACCAGAATGATTTCTGAACCCGACTTCTCTTTTTTTCTCATTCAAAAAGATCTTTTTGCTTTAACTTGTAGAAGCCCAGAATGGTGGGTAGCTGCAGATCAGGGGTGCCTACGTGTGCTGTGCCTGCAGTGAAGTGCAGACACCAGGACCCACGGACAATAGCTGTCTCTCCCCGGTGGTGTGCAAGGCAGTGGTATGAGAACAGGTCCCCTCAGGCTGACTCTCTAGGCCAAAATGACAGGTACGCTCCTCTGACACACACACAGACACACACGTGCAGACGCTGTCCCCTCACACACAGACACACACGCGCAGACGCTGTCCCCTCACACACCCCAGTGGTTTCTCCTGTGTCCTATTTGATTTCCCAGCCTCACACTCAACCCAAGCCAATGGCCATCTGAAAGGCATCCCCAGCGGTAAATCTACAACCTGTCTCTAATACGCTTATTTTCTCATGCTGCTATCCATTCTTTTGAGTAAGTTTAAGTTTCATTTTGTTGTTGTTTATTAACTAGGGATGTGGGAGTAGAGCTCATCTTGTTTTTGAAATAGTAGGTTAATTTTGGCTATCATGTTGCGCCGTCGTTGTGGAACACTTTGCCTGACACCATTTACAGTCGATGGCATGCCGGAATTCAGTTGCTGGAGGTTGTTTCACACTGTAAAATACTGATTTCAAGATCTGTGGCTGTTTCAGGAAAATCCATTAGGTCTCATCAAACAAGGGGGTGCATACTCCTGATACATTGTCCCTTTCTGGGACACTGTGGCCCGCATGATGTTCTAGAAGCATGCAAGTAGCTGAGAACAGTTTCTCACAGTTTCTTTTCTTTTTTTAAAATTTTTTTTATTATTATTAATTACACTTTATTCATTTTGTATCCCCCCATAAGCCCCTCCCTCCTCCCCTCCTGATCCCACCCTTCCTCCCCTTTCTGCATGCATGCCCCTCCCCAAGTCCACTGATAGGGGAGGTCTTCCTCTCCTTTCTGATTTTAGACTATCAGCTCTCATCAGAAGTGGCTGCATTGTCATCTTAAGGAAGAAGTTGAGAGCAAAGACTCCTCTGAGATTACTTGTCCCTAACCAAGAATCAGACCTCTATGACGTAGGTGAGGTGTATGAGGGACGAGGTCACTGGGAATGTGGCCATAGGCCTTACACTCCTTGTTTAGTGTGAGAGATTTTTTTTTAACCCAACAAAAAGGAGGTTCTTCCATATTTACTGATGATTTATTGAAGGATAACTGTAGGATGTGGGTGGTATTGTTCTCTTGTACACTCACACTGAGATTTTATAGCCTCCAAAGGACATGCAAAGTGAACCTGGGAGCTAGGCTTTGAGGCCAGCATGTTAACCTTCACACTTAACCACTGAACCACACTACCATAAAATACCTATTGGAGTAAGCCCAGAATATAAGCCATTCAAGATAATACAGTTGTATGGGGGCTGGAGAGATGGCTCAGCGATTGGTGGGTAAGAGCACTGTCTGCTCTTCTTAAGGACCTGGGTTCAATTCCCAGCACCCACAGCTCACAGCTGTCTATAACCCCAATTCCAAGGGATCTGACACTAATGCACATAAATTAAGTAAATTATTTTTTTAAAAAGGATAATAGAGTTGTTATAATGCTGCATATTGGACAAGATGCATACACTCTCTCATGTGACACTCACTGGAGCCCACTCTGTACGGAGGAGGAAGCCAGGGTTCACTTCACAGCTCCCTTTACTACGGAGAGAGTGAGTGGTAGAAGTGGAATTCACTGCCTTTGCAAAGACCATGACCTAATACCCACAGATGAGTCATTCGGGCGGCCTGTTTACCCTCTGACGGCCAAGATCCTAATTTGTCTTACATTTTAAAAACCAGCCGTAGGCAATGAAATGAGCAGAAATTTGGAAAGTACACAATTTGCTTTTAAGCAGAGATCCAATTTGAAAAATAATGCTGATTAACTCCAGTCCTTGTTGGCCCATTACCCACTCGGAGTTTATTAGATTTTCCTGGCCTGCCTGGAGACGCCGCTGCTCTCTCCATAGAGCAATGATACTTGTGTAACATATTTGTTTAATCTTTTTTTCTGAGCGTGTTCGGTATGAGTTGCATGTTGGAGAATGTTTATTACTTCCAGGCAGGAAAAGGTTCACCTGCAGACTCTGCAAGCCCTGTCCGAAGTACAGAAAATGACACCGAGAGAAAGGATGCGGCTGAGGAAGCTGCAGGCAGCTGATGAGAAAGCCAAGAAGCTGAAGTAAGCTGTCTCACCTTTGGGTGCCTCATGTGCTGTGCCCTAACAGTGCCATTGAAGAACTCAAGGAAGGCAAAAGCCAAAATGAGAGTCCAAAGCACATACGATCACTTACTTCTTAATTCACCCATTCCCCCCAAAATGATTACTGAGCTGTAGATTGGATGTCAGGTCCTATTTATATCAGATTTTCCATCCTGTGTGAAGGCATAGACTGAAAGGTGGGAGGTTGCTAGTGAGGAAAATGTGGTCAGCCTCTAAATGAAACCCCATTGCTGTTAACCTTGGACCAGTCCCACTAGGAGGCTGAACAGACAACCTCAATTTTCTGCTCTGTATTGGTTGCTTTTCCCACTGCTGTGATAAAGTACCCTGACATCAGCAACCTAAGGGATAAAGGGTCTACTTTGGCTCACTGTTTGGGCATACAGTCCATCACAGCAGAGGATTGATAGGCAGTGGGATGTTGAGAAAGGTTAAAGAGCATCTTTGGGTTTGGAGGTAGCTCATCTGTTTGCTGATCTCTGTGGTGTAACTGCTCCTATCATGGCCAGTTTCAGGCTACCAGGTGATATTATGGATTGCTCAGTTGGGAAGATATACGCAGTCTGTTCTTGGGAGTCAAAGCATGTTGGTTCCTATAAACCACTGATTGGGGATCTAACCGGGAAATGTATGCACTTGAATTACTTGAGCCATTACTTCAACTCATAGCTCCAAACCTTTGTCTACCCATAAGTTATGTTAATATCTTCAAGGTGGCATAATCCCTGTCACTGGCTGAATGTAAATGGGGAGTTAAATCTAAAAGAAATACATTAAAAAGGCAAATATAATATTTCACATGCATATTAAAAATATTATTCAAATTAAAGCTATTTATAGGCAAAAGAATAGCATGACTATTCCACATGATATACTAATATTGTTCTCATTTGGTCTTGATTTTTATAAATTAACTGGATTAGAATTTTGATCATTGTTTCTAGAACTCAAGAAGGGTCATGTATTTTAGCTAATACCATTGAGACACGCCAACACTGTGCATAATCTCCTTAATATGTAGTGTAAGAAATGAAGCCTGCAGAAGCAAAGAATAGAATGGTGGCTGCTGGGAAGGGGCAAGCATGTTAGACAGAAGGAATTGTAAGTCCTGGAAGTCTGTTTGTCATACATCATGGCGACTAACAACATGGTACTGAATAGTTGAAAGCTGATTAGACAGTAGACCTATTACTACTCCCCGTCCACCACAATGCCCACACATTCCTTCACATCTAGTCCCATGGTCCTTGTGTGTGGACTTGCTCATCATGAAGCAGAGTGAACCTCAGACGTGGGGGTGGCAGCAGCCCCGCAGGCAGGATGCTCCGGGGTGAACATTGCCATCTCCTGACACCTCAGGTGTTCTCGGTGTTGATCAAGGAGCCATAGCTTCCTTGTGTGTGCTTAGAAGAGGATCACTGGGAATTTTAAAAGGAGATGTCACCGCTTGTGGAGCCGGACCATGAGGGACAGACCTCATGGTCTGTCTGTCAAAACAGGGATCGTGTTTATTTGTGTATTGTCAATCTGGTGTAAGCAAATTGTACTGATCTTTACACAATCTATTAAATTTACAGAAGGATTGTGGAAGAAAAATACAAAGAAAACAACAAACGGATACAGGAATTGAGATTCAAGAACATTGAGCCTTTGAGTGCCGATGTGCTCCATGTAAGCACCCTTCATTTCATGTGTATGTGGGGGGTTTTCTTGCTTAGGGTCCTTCAGATTCATCAGACTAAATGTGTAGGAAAAGGGGTAGAGAATCCAGCCCCCGGGCCCAACTCCAGGGAGGGATCTCAAAAGTGACCCAACAGTTGGCAGTAGCCCTAATTCAAAGCCGATTGCATCTAGAAGTGGGCCAGTTGATTCTGCTGTCACATATCACGTGGCTGCTGTTTACAAGATAACTGAATTGTCACCGAATGCAGAGGTGATGCCCAACATGACGAATTGATAGAGCAAGTGTATGCACATTTGATTTTCACTTCCATCCTTTGTGTTTTGCCTCTCCGGTCCCGTCAATCCCTTTTTGTCCTATTTTCGTTGACCATTTTTTGTGTCTTATCCATATCATCACACACTGTGACAGTAACTTTGTTCAAACTGAAGAACCACCATATACCTGATAATGAATGAGTTACAGGACCCTTCCTGTCCCTGTTCCTATCTTCTGTATTTGACATTGCTGAGTGCCAGATTCTGTGTTCACTCATGGTTGAGAATATCTCTCTGGGCCGTGGCAGTAGGACCTGACAGTAAGGTAGTCTGTGTGAGGTGTTGTTTGCGCGGGTTGACATCAACACCAACTTTATAGCTTTTCTGATAAAAGAACCTGGGGGTAAAACAAGCTTTAAGATGTTCACCCAGAGATCTCCGCATCTGAGATGCTTCCCTTTGACAGAAAGGTCGGTTCGACCTTGAGACTATCAAAGAATGTCCTGAACCTCAGTGCTGTAAATCCTATAGCTTAGCTTAGTTATTACAGGTTTCCAAAGCCTGGACAGTGCAGAAGCCTGAGCAAATCTTTCTTTTAGCTTGTCTAGGAACACTTGATTTCTGTCCCCCTCTGAACAAGACAGTGCTCATTTATTTTCCTCAATCATTTACAGGATCTGATAATCCAAAGTTGGAGCCCACAGTAGATGTAGTCTTCTCTATGACCTTACAGGTTTTCCTCTGCTATTGAGCTGGTCAGCAGATACTATGAAAGTGCTGGTGATAGGTGCGCAATCCCATCCTGTGTCCTACCTTTCTGGTGCCCCCATTTTTAGGGAAGCCCTTTATGGCATCTGCCTCAGGGACTTGGGAAATTATGAGGTCTTTCCTGCTTATGAATATGGCAACTAGAGAAAGTGCTGGCTGAAAGGATATGGGGTCAGCAATATAGGATCAGGTCTCAACCAAGAGAATGATCTTGATGCCACCACCACAATGAAGAACCCATGCCTCAGGGGAACCGAAGGCCTTGCTCCGGCACACTGGGCTCCTAAGCACTTTGAGGCTGGCCCGTGGGTTTGCCCCTGGCTCTGTCTGCTTTGTCCATATAAGATTGAAAACCAACCATTCCCATATACCTAAAAAGGAAACTGACATTTCTAAACAAGGGATTGCAAGGTCTCTGTGCTTCTTAAGTGTGCAAACTACTTGCTTAATCACTAAAATAGACTCGAGTTCTTATCTCATCCTTTGACATCTGAGAGATTTCTTTGCTTAGACTCAAGCTTGGGAACTAGAGATGGCGTGTGTGTGTGTGTGTGTGTGTGTGTGTGTGTGTGTGTGTGTGTGTATGTGTTATAAAACCTAAGCCACCAACCTTCCTTCCTCTTTTCCTTCCTCCTTCCTGCCTTTTCCTTCCTTCCTTCTTTCCTTCCTTCCTTCCTTCCTTCCTTCCTTCCTTCCTTCCTTCCTTCCTTCCTTCCTTCCTTTTTTCCTTCCTGACAGGGTCTTGTTATGTGGCCCAGACTGGCGTTAAACTTAGGAGCCTCTTGCCTTAGCTTCTCAAGTGCTGATATTGTGGGGATGTAAGGCCACCCCAAGGTCTGGCTTTATGTTGAAGTTATCATATGGCAGGAAAAAAAAGTAAGATCTCATGTATTAGTGACCGATAATCTACTTCACCTGTTTACTTCTCTTTTTTGACCCTTTAAGATATTCATTTTCGTGTCTGATGTAATTATTACCAGTAGTATAAATATGCTGTATGACATATGATGACGCTGAACAACTATGAAAGCCAAAGTCTTTTTGTAACCTCTGCAGACTTGGGTATTAAGATTCTAAGGATAACCCCAAGACTACATAGCAGGCAGAACCTCAGAAGATTTTGTTACCCATATGTTCTAACAGAGAACATGGAGCCAGGGAAGCATCTTTATTTTGGCCCAGCTCAGATCAAGAAAGCTTGCACAAAGAACCTGTAATTCCCAACAGGCAAACCTTGGGACTTCCTGTATTAGTCGCTTGTCTTGATGCTGGGACAGAATGCCTGACAAGAGCAACCCTGGGAAGGCTTTTGCTTTGGGGAGAGTTTTGGAGTACTCATAATTTGAAAGTGTGGCCCACAATGGCAGGGCAGTTATGTTGGCAAGAACGTTGGCTCTGCCCTCAGGAAGCCGAAGGATGAATATCATTGCCTGCTGGTTTTCTCCTTTCACCCAGCCCAGGACCCCAGCCTGTGGCTGATGCAGCCTACATTCAGAAAAAGTCTTCCTCCTTCAAGCCGGCCTTTCTGCAGACACTCTCACAGACACACCCAGAACTGTGTTTCCATGGTAATTCTAAATCTTGTCAAATTGACGAGATTGCCCTTTCTTTCAGCAAGTACCTTGTGTGTGTGTGGGGGGGGCATATGTGTATGTGCGTGTGGTGTGTGTACATATGTATGTGTTTGTAGTGTGTGTGTGTGTGGGGGGGGTGTATGTCCTGGATAAAGATTTTGGTTCGTGCTTTGATTTTTCTGAGATTTGTTCCACTGTTTCTGGTCTTGAGGTTTTCAGAAGTATGTTTCCTAAGTTTGGACATAGACAGGAGCATTGTTAGCATGTCAGCGTGAGAACAGTAAATGATCCTCCCCCCTACCCCCCTGTTTCAGAGGTCACTTTGTCTTCAGGAAAATGTTCTGAGCTCTCAGGTCCACAACCAGGCAGCTGTCTCTACATTCTGTCACTTGTAGGACATTTCTCAGACTTCAGAACACACCAGACTGTCCTGTTTGTGTTGGTGTTGATTGTGCTGGTCCAGGGCCTGGGCTGTCAGATTTCTGATGAGCTCCCGTTGCTCCTGACGCTGCTGACCAATTATTACCCCCCTATTAACCAGCGGCAGAAAGTGAAGCTTCTGAATGTGACCATTTCCCTCGAGATGAAGGAACTGAAAAAGACACCAATGAACAGATCTCTTATCTCTTTAGAGGAAAAAGAAAATCATTTAATGGGAATGGAAGAAAAGGAGGTGCAACCTCAGGGAAGCCTTTCTTGTTCACCCCAGGAGGAGGAGGGAGAAAGGCAAGCAGGCAGGGAAGAGACAGGTTTAATCAGACTCACAGGCACAAGAGGGAGATGGGTTTAATGATATTCCCAGAACAAAGAAAGAAGCTAAACACTTTGCAGAGCCCTGAAGGGTTTTCGTCATCTCAGAGAAAGGCATTGTTGAGCTGAAAAAGATGAAATAAAATATGACAGAAACTGAATTAATCAGATGCAAGCAGCTGCAGGAAAATGTGATAAAGGAAGAAGGCACCTGTCTTTGAATGCACTTCCTTGCCCCTTCTTCTCTACATTCTGATGGCTTCATTTCTTCCTACCCTCACTGAGGCTCTGCTCTTAATGCCTTCTTTCTCTCTTGCCAGGCTGGAACAAATTCCTATGTATTTCATTGTGGGGAGTGTGTTTGGTGTGTGTGTGTGTGTGTGTGTGTGTGTGTGTGTGTAGGTGTTCAAGTGTGTGCCTGCATTTGAAAAGCAGAGGTGAGCACTGGAATCCTTCTCTTTTCCTCTTGACCTTATTTAATGAACGAAAGCTCGTTGATTATGCTATGCTGGCTGGCCAGCAAGCCCTTCCCACAAGACAGCAAGACAAGATCTTCTGGTCTCTACCTCTCCAGCTGTGAGATCAACATCTGCCTCTCAAAAGCATAGATGCTGGGAGTCTGCGTGCAAGTCTTCATGCTTACACTCAGCACTTCACCAGCTGAACCGTTTTGAGAGAGAATGGACCCAGTATCCCATATGTTATGAAAATTCTCTGAGGCCCTTAGGAGAATGGCTTGGTTTGTTTTCAGACTTCAAGTGACAATGTCTTTATTTTGGCAGGCATTTTCTGCATGGCTGAATGGGGGCTTTGAAATCTTGAAGCCCAGTTGAGTGTGGACTCTTGTTTCATTCCCTTTCTTAGGAGGATGGTGGCTTAGAAAACCCACAATACACAAGGCAAGCCCTGGCTGTCCCTTTTCCCATGGCGTGTACAGCCATACTGGTGCTAATTCTGGACTTCTGTGAAAAAGTACCTAGCAGACCAGGAGTCCACATGTGTGCTGGGGATGGGGTGGGGGTGGGGATGGATCAAGGAGCAGATCAGTGCTCTTCTTTCTGAGAGACAGCTATAGAAAGTCTATCCTCTTCAACGAGAACCTCAAAAGTCACAGTCAATTGAGAGCCCAAGTGCTTATTTTCAAACCCCTTTAGAAGGGCATGCAGTGATAATAGCCCACAATCTCCTTGTCCTTTGGGTTCTCCGTGTACTTCAGTGACAATTTGCACCTGGGATCCAGCTGTATCTCCTTAAACAGTGGTCAGACGGTAGGGAAAGCAGACCTCTTAACAATACTTCATGAGCTTACTCACACATTGCTGTGGTGGGGCGTGGCTTCACTTGACTTACTCATTTAATATTCCTTTGAACTTTCCTTTTAATTTATTTCTTAATAAAAGGCTCTCTTGGTTTAGTCCCCCCACACACACCATGAGAGCTACTTATTAGAGAAAATATGGCAATTCAGTATTAGATTTGGCTTGCAAACACACATGCGACCACAACAATAATAGGCAAATAGCTTATTGAAATTCCTATTAATATGTTTGGTAACTTTACCTTTTATTTAACTTAGTTTTGGTTTTGTTTTGTTGAGGCAGAATCTCATGTTGCAAGCTCACCTCAAACATACCATTTAGTCAAGACTTAGTCCAAGCTTAATGATCCTGCTTCCATTTCTGTGTTGGATTGAATGAGAATGCTCCCATAGGCTCACATATTCGAATGCTTAGTCAAATGTATGAGTTTGGAAAAGATTAGAAGGATTAGGAGGTGTGGCCTTGTTAGAATAGGAACTGTGTCACTTGGTGTGGCCCATGCCAGCCCAATCTCTGTCTCTGTGTCTGTCTCTTTCATTCTGTCTCTCTTTTTCTCTGCCTGCTCCTGCCTATCAGGATGTAAAGCTCTCAGATAAGGCTCCATCACCATGCCTCTTTGCTTCCTGTCATGATGATAATGGACTAACCATCTGAAACTATAAGCAAGCCCCTAATTAAATGTGTTTAAAAATAAGACATGGTCATTGTGTCTCTTTACAGTTCTAGAACAGTAACTAAGGCAGCTTCCCTAGCTGTAATTATAGGCAGTTTATGCAGTGCTGGGGATTGGGTGCAAGACTTCTTTTATGCCAGGGAAACACTCTACCAACTAATACCACATTTCCAACCTTACTTTTCATGTCTTGAGAAGGGCTGGAACAGGGATGAGTTGGGTGGAATACTGGGTACACATTGGAGAGAGATGCTTGCTTCTGACTGCTGATGGAACCTATACTTGACTGAGCCTTTGACTTGGCTCTCTGGGTGTCTCACTTGGACCACTTTGCTATGGCCTACAAACTGATTCTTACAGAGGCTGAATGCTTTGCCCAGGGTCACTGTCTGGTTCAAGACCATTTCCCTTATCCTAAGTTACCAACTCGAAGTTTTAATATGCTATCAGGCTTAAGGGAGAAGAATGCTGCTTCATTTGTGGTAGGGACATTTCCTTCGGTCAGTTTCTCATGAGCTGTTAATTCCCTTCTACAAGGAATTAGATGAGCGGACTTCAGAGAACCTTTCTGAGCCCCAGTCCCTTCCTTCTCTGCACCTTGATGAACCTGAGCCAAGTTTAGAGGACACCATCATTGACCTTGGACATTATGGTATGTGTTTGTGTCACCCCTCAGCAGATCTCTGGGAGAACCCTTCCATGTATGTGACTTCCTGCCATCACTGCTCAGGGCTGGGCTGTGATCCGAAGGGCCTTTTGTCTTCTCTGTCTTCATTGCAATAGTGAAGATACATTAGAAACTCGAATCTGTTGCCAGAATTCTACTGAGTGGGTTAAACAATATTGTCATTAACCTGAGTAAGAATTCTTCAAAGCTCTACTCCGGCGCTGCATGTCATCTATAGAGGAAGCCCTTGGCTACCAGATCTTTCTGGGTCTTTGCTACCTTATCCATGAAACAAGAATGATGATTCCTTCTTTTGTGGTTGTTATCAACAGAAAACAAGATGGGGCATGGAAGTTCTCTTAGCTTAGTGCCTAGTATACTAAGAGCCAAAGGAAGAAAACAGTTACAACACTTTGTTGAGGGGTGCTTTTGAATGCATGAGTCTTCTTGGTCTTGTTCACTACTGTGCCTAGTGCCTAGAATAACACACCAGGATATTATCAGTACTCACTAATTATTTCTTGAATAAATGAATTTATAAATTAATGAGATGAAGTGAATGAATGAGGTATTAGTAGACCCTTAAGAAGCAAATGTGAAGGCAAGACTGAAATGCATGAATTTTTTTTCAAATACTTGCTTGAAAGGAAAAGGCTAGGAGAGGATGAGAGAGCTGGTAGACCATAGTTCAAATCTTACTGTGAAGAACGGAGGCTTAGCAGAGGTGTATTGCTCTGTAAGTCAGCTGTTGGGTGCCTGCCTTCTTATCACTGCCGTGTTTTAGGAGCATTTGCCAGTAGGAGTGAGAATAGCCTCTGAGAGAATGCAAGGTGGTTTCAAGAAGAGCAGCCGAGGCACTCTGTCACTTGACTCCCTGCAGCTCAGTGGGCAAGGCTTCACCTGAATGGCACACAGTAGCAAGGTGGTGCTGGTGAAGTCTGTGTCACGATGCTGTAAACTCACGGCAGTGGGCTGACTGGAGGTGCTGCGTGTCAGCTCTTCTCACCAACTGAGCATTAAAGAAGTGAAACTTGGATTGTGCCTTTATCTCAGCCCAAATTTGTGCTTCAGGTCTTCCTGAACTAGTAGAGAAGGGGTCACCTCCCTCAGCTAAATGGAGCTCCTGAAGCTCTTTAAGCTGCCTGCTGCCAAGTTCAAAGTGATGCCATGGAATCCATCTTATAGTAGACATGACAAGGATATATGTTTATCAGATGGATTTGTATTTTTTGTGATGGTTTTGTACTGTATTATTTGTCTTTCATTTGAGGAAAGTAGGGGGTTCAGCTGTTCCAAGTGAGAAAGTTAGGTCCTGTGTAGCAACTGATGTAGGTGATGCTGATTAGGGTAGAGCCATTTCTATGAATAGGAGCCCAGGATAAGATAATAAACCATTGTTTGAGATAGAGAAGTGGGACTCTGTTCTCCTGGCTTCAAAGAGGAAGATACCTTTCAGTGTGTTTCTGAGAAGAGAGACCAAAGACATGAAGGCATTTGCTCAGGGATCACGTAACTTCTTTCTGGAGCAGTATCTCTCCAGTCTCTCCCAAGCTGCACTAGACTGGTAAGAACAGTTAAGTGTGGTGAATGAGTCTGAGGCAGAGCCTCCGCTGTGGGTCTCTATGCTAAGCTGCAGGAGACAGACTACTCCTCAGCTAGCTCCGATGGCAGGGCTTCTGCTACAGGAGAGGAGAGCTCATGCCCTCCTCCCCTCTCATCTTTCCTTGTTTCACCATGGTGGACAATATACTGATTTATCAGTCCAACAGCAGACAGTCAGCCTTTCTCCCATGAACCTCCATCATAAGCCATACAATTCAAAGTAGAATAAACACACAGTAGCTTGAATGGATCAGATGTCTTGTAAGATACTTTGAACATTTCTCTTTTTTTTTCTATAAATTCATATTCTTCTAGTTATTTCTTTCAAATATTCAACTAAAAATGAAACATAGAAATATGTAATGTTTGCTGTTGACAGTCCATTACAGTAGTAAGCAACTGAGATTATTGGCGAGCATTTTAGGCAATTGTGAAATTTTGAAATGGGGTACTTGAATTTGTTGATGAACCCTGAAGTGATTAATTAGTTTTCTCAGTGTTCTTTGACTTTTTCTTTTCTTTTCTTTTTTAACTCAGTGGCATGCTTTTAGCACCTAGGAGAAACATTACTTATTTCTATCTAGCATGTACCTATAAACTTATGCAGCCATTTTTTTAATGCTCCTACCTCAATCATTTAATCAGTTTTTGATAATGAGCTGGAAAATTCCCCTGGGAAATGTGGCATTAGCTGTAGAGAAGGAAGGCAGGGTAAGCCATTCGTTGCATCTGATATGCATTGATCTGCATAGAGCTGATTTAATCTAGCTAGTCATGGGTTACCGTTATAATTAAATGAGAAACACAGCTGGAATGTTAAGGAATTTATCCCTGTTTAATTCCTTATTTGTGGTACTGATGACTTCTTGAGCATTAAGTTATCAAATGATTATTTTATACTTCTTGAGATTAAAATTACATCATTTCTTACTTTTCTTTCTTCCCTCCAAATCCTCATATATGCACTTCACTCCATTCTCTTTCAAATTCTCCTTTAATTGCTGCTACTGTTGTTGTTGTTGTTGTGTGTGGGTGTGTGTGTGTGGGAGTGTGTGCTCATGCATGTGTTCATAAATAAACAAATGTAACCTGCTCGGTCTGAATAATGTTACTTGTATGTTTTCCTTTTCCGGGCTGACCATTTGATATTGGCTAACCGGTTGGTATGCTCTACCCTGGAAAAGACTGTTTCTCGTCCTCAGTATTTCTTAGTTGCCCATAGTTTTTTTGTCTAGGGTTGAGGCCTCAGCCTCATGAGCTTTCCTCCCTCCACACCTTCCAGAAATGGCTAGAAGCTACACCCGTGAAGTCTCATCAACATGGCCGCCTAGACATGGCCTGAATGACACAAGTAGCCATGCTAATGTGCCTGTTAATTTTCGCCAGGCTCCTGTGCCCTGGCCTTGTTCTTCTACAACTAGCAGCTGATTTTTAGAGCTGTGTTTCTTGAAAATTGGAATAGCCTGACTCGTAAGCCTGAGCTCCCCCGGGGCAATAACTAAGCAAGCCAGTGGCTGTTGACCTGGGGTCGCAACCCCTCTGGTAAAAGCTCTACCTTCAAAATTGTTTGCATTGTGATTTATAAGAGTGGCAACTTTACAATTACAAAGTAGCAATGAAAATAACTACAATACCAGGAACTATATTAGAGGGTTGCAGCATTAGGAAGGTTGAGAACTACTGTCTTCAGCCAGTCTTTGAGGTTTAAGTCTGCCTGTCTTCAGTCCAAGCAAATACAACCTGCTCATTTCCTTTCCAGTCACTCCTCCAGCAAGTCCCAAGCCTTTTCTCAATGCTTGGCTAAAACTCTGACCTCGTGGGGTTCTACTCTCTGAAGGCAATTGTCATGTCCTTTTTTCTTCTGAGAATATGGGGAAAGGCCTCCTCTGTTGTGGTTTGAGTGTCAAATATTCCAATAGGCTCATATGTTTGGATACTTGTCTCCACTTAGTAGTTGGCAGTGCTGTTTTGGAAGGTTATGGACCCTGTGGGAGGCAGAACCTTGCTAGAGGAAGTGGGGTCACTGGGACAGGCAGGTCATGGGGTTTTGTGGCCCAGCTCCAATTCCCAAACACTCTGCTTCCTGACTGCAGAGACATGTGACTGGCTGTCTCGTGGTCTTGCTGCCATGCCTTCCCTGCCCCGCATTCTTTAAAATGATTTTTAAATGAATTTTAGACGGTCATGGGGACCTTCAAGACCAAAGTCTAAAGAACAAGGGTTTGTGAGTCATGACAGGACACATGGATACATGGACTAGAATAGTCCATCCTAGAGATGTTACTGAGATATATGTAGGAAGGTGTGGGGATGCAGAAGCCGGTGGAATAAGGATTCCTTCATAGAGTTTGTCTGTTTACGTTCATGGCAGCCCCAGTTATAGCATCTGGTGTTCACGGCCATTTTCCAGCCGTGCATGGAAAGACAGGCCAAGTGACCCTTCCTCTGGTTGTCGTGCTTCATGTGATTTCAACCTGAGATCCTAAAATACATTTGGTATATTTTGAGATGGGACATCCCTAATTCCTTCCTGGGCTTCTTTATGACTCCTAATAGCATCTCTTTCTTTTAAATATCCAAGTGGAAACCAGGCAATTTGAACTTAAGCACATCATTTTTAGTGTTTTATTTTTTAAAAAGACACCCTCTCGTGACTCAGCAATCCCAGTTCTGAGAGAAATGAAGAAGAACTCCAAAGGAAACATTCATAGCTCTGCTCATATGAGGTGGAGACACACTCAAGTCCAGCATCCATCAGCAAGTAAAAAGTGACATCTGCCAAGACAGGAAATGTGGATAAATTAAAAAAAATATATTTTAAGTGAAGATACCTCATACTAGTGAGTTTAGAACGGAAGACCCCATTTCCATCAAAGCTAAATCAAAAATTATAATTTTAATCCAGGACACCCATGAAGACCAGGTTGGCTCCTAAGTTGTCCAAAGAAAACGGAAAGTTGGGAGTTTCCCCCTTAATGAAGATAGAGAAATCTGTGTACGTTACGGAAGAAAAGCCTGTTGTCCTGTGTGTTTTGGAGGAGCTTGCAAACTCTGCTAGGCTTGGGGTAGCATTTCTTTCACAAAGCAGTGGGAGGTGGGCTCTCGTGAGCAGTTCCAGCAACACATTGCTAGGACAAAGGAGAAAAGATGGACTCCTAAGGCAGTTCCTGGAAAACTTGCTTACAGCTGAAAATTTCCCCCAATGGCCTCTCAGTTCTACGTTAGATGGATAGGTTAGCAGTGTTTCACTGGTATCTTCATTGGTTTCTAACCTTCATTTCTCATGGCGGTTAGAACCAGCAAAAGTCACTGGTAACAGAAATGAGGCCACTGGCTGCCTGGGGTCCTGGTGGTGGAGAAGGAAAGTGGCCTTAGAAGGACAC